ATTTAAAAGGACCCAAGGAAAGAGCACCTAGCAATCAATGGATTTGGCAGGGATTTCCAGGACATGGTGCCAGAAGCCCAGGCAACAAGAGAAATATAGAAAAAGTTTGTGAGATTCTATTAACTGCAAACAGGAAAGTCATAGAGTAGTACTGGTCTGTGCATCCAACATCTGATACAGGCATTAATATCAATAGCAAAGTTCTTCCTACGTCCCTCAAGGCCGAGACCTCAAAACAACAACCTTAAAAAAGGGCTTTAATAATCCTTCTTCCAAAAATGAAGGGACAGCCAATGACACATGAAAAAGATGTTCAACATTGGCAGTCATCAGGGAACTGTAATTCAAAACCACAATTAAATACTCAGCCACTTTATACTCAAAGGGATGGCTGTTATAAAAATAACATACTTTCACACACAGTAATTAAGCGCGATGAGGATGTGGGGAATTAGAACCTGTGAACAGACGTGGTATAAAATGGTATAGCTGCCTTGAAAAACAGTTTCTTAGTAGGGGCTTCTATTGTTGTGATCAAACACCATGACCAAGAGCAACTTGAGGAAAGAGTTATTTTATTTTACAACTGTCAGGTCATAACCCGTCACCGACAGAAGTCAGGGCAAGAATCTGGAGGCAAGAACTGAAAGAAAGACCACATCGGAACACTTCTTAATACACATTCCCCATGGTTTATTCAGCCTGCTTTCTTATACAATGCAGGACAACTTGCACAGGGATGACACCACCCACAGTGGGCTAGACCCTCTGACATCAATCATAAATCAAGAAAATGCTCTATAGACTTGCCTATAAACAAATCTTATGGAGGCATTTTCTCAGTTGAGATTCCGACTTTCCAAATGATTCTAGTTTGGGTCAAGTTGACAAAAAAACAAAACAAAAACAAAAACTAATCAACACAAGCAGTATAGTTGATCATTAAAAACTGAACATAAAAACAGTATAATCACATTACCAAGTGATTCTACTTTTGAGGGTATATCCAAGAGTTGAGAGCAGCCTACCAAAGCAATTTGCGCACACATGTTCACTGAGGCATTACTCATAATAGCCAAAGGGAAGAGAAGAAAAAGAAAAACCAAGTGGCCAGCAAGAGATGAATAGAGAAATAAATATGGTTGGTTCGTATGTAGAAAAGAATATCACTCAATGCAAAAGGAAAATTGGATACACGATCCTCCATGAGTGAGCACACTTTCTACTGTGTGAACTAATCCAGTCCCAAAGAGACAAATAGTGTTGATTCCACACCTATATGAAACCTAGAGTCAGATTCACGGATACAGGAAGTACAGCCCTGCTTTCCAGGGGCTGAGCAGGGGAAATGGAGGTTATGCTGTAATGGGTACAGAGGTTTAGAAGATGAAAACGACTTGGAGATGGGTGGTGGTGGATGTGCAATACCGTGAATGCCTTAAGGCCAGAGAACTGTAGAGTTAAAAATGGTTAAAGCAGTAAAGTTTGATGTTATGTATCAAACTCAACTAACTAGACCACTATCGGGACCTCATGGAATTATCTCCAGAACTAACCAACCTGCTCTCTTAAACCACTCAGGATAAACAAATGAAGTGCATGACACCTCATTCTAGCCCCTCTCCTCTCACTCTTCCCAGCCTCCTCCAGTCACAGTGAACACACAGGTTAGATGTCCCAGTGTCACCCTGACCTGTGCAGAATGGAAGGTCCCTATCACTCCCTTGATGTGGTAATAATCGATTAGAGCTAGCGTTTCCTCCCAGTGCATTAGTTCACTAACCCCTGTGGAGCCAGCATCCATCTAATACCTCATGTTCCTTGCAAGCATGCCACTGCTAGAACTGCCCTTGCTTAGAGCTCTCTCGCAGACTACAAAGAAAACTAAGGCTTAGCCACAAGGTGATACAAAGTGACAAGCCACAAAATAAATAAAGGAATGAATAAGAAGGATATATTGGCACATGCAAGTGTTCCAGAGATATTGTTGGCCTAAGATGTGGTGACTGTGGGTTTACATGGTGTCAGCAGTGCTCAGCTCCTTTCTTCTCCCGGCCCTGCTCTGCTCTGCTCTCCGCTCCATCTTCATTCTTCTCACGGGGCTTTCCATCCAGAAGCTGAGAGCAAGCGTCCCAATTCATGGACAGTGGAGCAAAGACAGAGAGAGAGGGGGAGAGGGGAGGGGGAGGGAGAAGGGGAGGGGAGAGGGGAGAAGGAGAGCAGTGCTCTCCACAATTCCAGCTGGAGTATATTTGCTTTTTACAAACTCTAATCGGTCCACAGCCCTGAATATGTCACCTCAGCCACAATGATGCAAATTCTTAATAGCTTCGTTCCAGGTCACATAGTCTGCCTCTGAGTCAAGATAAAATAGTCCACTGAAGCTGCTGTTTGCCTGAAAGTGGAGCATTGATGACCACCCCAGAGTATTCAAAGTAAAACTAGCATCAGGGAGGGGGGAGATAAGGCAGCAGAAAGGACAGTTAAATTAAATGTGGTATTCAAATCTTTCTGGCAAAATATTTCTGGGATCCTAATTCTAGGAAGCAGTGTAGCTCCACAACGTGGTGAAGGTGCTGTGGTGTCTTATTGTAGCACTCAGTCATGAACGGAACACGAACATGTTATCATGTACCATGCAGCCTAGAAAAACCCACAGTTGAGTCTGGTGTGATGGTCTACACTTTCCGTCTTAACATAGGGGGAAGAGAGGCCTGTAGCTCACCCAGGAATTTGAGACCAGTCTGATCTACATTGTGAATTCCAGGCCATCAAGGGCTACACAGCGATGCCCTATCTCAAATCAAAAAAGGGACAAACAGCTCTGTCCTTTGCTTGTCACCATTAGCAGCTTCCTGACCCAATCAGGCTTCTCCTTCCAAGAGACCACTAGCATCATCTTTAAATGTGCACGTATAACTAGAAAGTAGGTCCATCTTTTAACTGGGGCCCTAGTTCCCATACCCAGAGACACTGGGAATCATGTTAACAAAATGTCCTGTCTTAAGTGAAGATTTGTAATAAAATCTAAGCAATATATGGCTTCTTTAGTAGCATTCATCAACAAGAGCCCCCATTTTAAATATATACCTCAGACATGTAATGCTGTCTAAATAAGCCAAAATTTTTAAGTGGAGCAGTATAAGTAGCAAGTACTAAAAAATGCTTACGAAATGCCAGGCTGCTGATAAGCACACAGGATTAATATTAACACAGCGTCACTGCACCCAAGGGAGATAGTTTCTAAGGGAGACAGTTGTCAGTGTTGTCAAGATCTCTTCTACTTTACAGATAAGGAAACTAAGCCAGGAGAGGGTGGCTGGCCCACACTTCCACACATCTGGTTAGCACATACCTGGCTTGTACTCAAGGTATCTGGCTCTAAAGCCATCAAACCAACCGCACACAAGTGGAATTTGTCCCAGACACCCTTCGACTGTCATTCGAATGAGCAGGGGAGCCTGCTTCAAAATATGAAACACAAAAACAAATATAGACAAGTTAGAAAGCAGTCACTCACTTTACAAAACGATATTGTCTGTCCTTAGTAGTAATGAGCTTGCATTTGACTGGCTAACTAGTTAAAAATCATGAATGGTTTCTCAGAAATACTGGGACAGAGAAACCAAGCCATAACTTTAGGACTCATGCCAGCTAAAGTTCAAAGAACCAAAAGGCCAATGGTCCTAGTGTCCACATGAGAAGAAAAACACAACTTTACAACTATTGAGATATTCTCTCTCTCTGAACATCAGTTACACTTGGAAAAAACAAGTCCAGGAGCCACTCTAATAGAGGGCATAGCCTCCCGCAAGGAATCCCCACAAGAGAGCTTGCTTCTTAGCCTTCTCTGTGCATTCTTGGCGTCACCTGAACCACAGTCTATTGTCACCCTCGGCAGTAAAATCTGTTGGATCAATTCTTCACAAAGGCACTGTAAACACGTGCCTCCCTCATTCAAAGCAGTTTCATTCAACCTTAGTTCTCCTAGAAATAGCATCTACACAAACCCAGGTGGTTGAAAAATGAACAGGCTTTAATGACTGGAAAATATGCAAAACGAGGCACAAGATGCAAATATAAATGCAACAGATGAACACCAACGAAAAGCTACCGCTCGCTCAACTTACAGTTGAAGGACATCAGTGGTGGACAGGTTATGAGGGGGCCACGAAAGAGCTAGTTCTGCGTAAGAAAAGCTCCTGGTGGGAAGGAGGCAGCTACTGCTAGATGCCAAGCAAGGGAAGGATAGCCCCATCTTCTCCTCTCCCAGTCTTCAGTGCTCACCATGAACAGCAACAGGATAAGGGCATCTGGAGATAGTCAGAAAAGATCAAGGAGCAGAGCATCTCTGGAAGAGAGAGAGGGAAAAGCATAATGCTTTTCCCAAAGATGGATGAACTGCAGTACTAAGAAGACAAGTAATGGGTCCATGGATGTAGCTCAGTTGGTAGAGGGCTTACCTAGAAAGCACATGCTTTTAATGCCCAAACAACTGCATTAAAACCAAGCATAGCAGCCCACATCTGCAAATGCCAACACTCAAGGGGTGAGAGTAAGAGAATCAGAAATCCAAGGTCAGCCTCAGCTATATAGAATATTCAAGGGCAACCTGGGCTATACAGGACCTTGACTCTAAACAAGAGAAGACATATAGCACGCTTCAGATCTTGAAGAATAGATTGAAACCAAGAAAATGGCCTTCTTCCCTTGCTGGTCTCTCTAATTTTGGGAAACCTGAGTGCCCAAAGAGTCATATCATCTCAAAGAGTGTCTAATCCTAAGGCTCCTTGCCAACATATGGTGGTGTTGCAAATATCCTAGAGTGGATCACTTTTCCTCAGAAGTGTCCAGAGAGTATGTGACTAAGCTGACTCAGCCTTGCCTGGATTCAGTGGGGAGGGAGGTTTAGTGACTCATTTGTGTGGGTGATGATCTGGTCTGTGGTATCCGTTGAGTGAACTTACTCTGCACACTAACAGAGCGTCTGGTCCGTCCAGGTGACTCATCTGAAGAAGTCGACCTGACCATGGTGTATCAGGCAGCTTCGAATGGAGATGTCAACTCTCTGACTGCCCTGATTCGGGAGGACCCATCCATCTTGGAATGCTGTGACAGTGAAGGTGGGCTGCTTATGTATTTTTTAAACCTAGGATGAAGTGTTTTATCCTTTCAGAGATGGTCTTTTGAGATGGGCAACACTAATGGAACTCTTTCTGGCTGACCACGAGATACTGCAGGCATCTTGCCTGTGGCTCTATAGAATCCCTTGGCGTTTCTCAGCATAATGACATTGGACATGGAACTTCAGCACCTTTCACTCATTATTCACTTATTATATTTCACTTATTATTATGAACTGGGTTGACGCCAGTATTTTTGTAGGAATGGTCAAGTAGGTGTGTGTGTGTGTGTGTGTGTGTGTGTGTGTGTGTGTGTGTGTGTGCATGTGTGTGTGTGTGTGTGTGTGCTTGTGGAAGCCAGAAGTCAACCTCAGGTGTCATTCCTAAGGTATTTTCCATCTCATTTTTTGAGACAGGGTTTCTCACTGGAATTTGGAACTCACCCAGTAAGTTAAACTGGTTGGATCAGTGAGCCCCAAGTATCTGCCTGGCTCCATCTCCTCAGGGCCAGAATTACAAGTACAAAACATTATGCCTGTATTTCTTATGTGTGTTCTGGGACCCTACTCAGTTCCTTGTAATTACACAGCAAGCATTTTGGGGACTGAGCCCTCTCTTTGACCATCAGTAGTTATAACAAGTATCTAGAGCAGAAATGGATTTGGAGAAATGTGTCATGGTCCTTCAAAGAGTCAAGAATTAGGATGACATCATGGTTGTATTTCCACCTCTATTCTTTCTAAACACAACTAAGAACTCTGGATATGATAACTAAAATAACTCTGGAAACCAAGAGAAGGGCCAAGTCCTGAGATCCAAGGACGAGCATGGTGGTGAGTTCTCTAGATTGTCTGTCTGCCTTGTATATCCCAGGGTTGGGGCTGAAGGAGCTGGCAACACAGAATGCCTCACAAGAGGGTCCACTTTCACCATTGGTCCAACACCTCTGTCATCTGTATGAGTTCTCTATTCAGAAGCTTAGAGGAAGAAGAAATACACAGACGGGGAGAGAGGAAACAAGAAAAGATGAAATTGAAAACAAAAGCAATAACAAAAAAGTCAAAGAAACAAGGAACAATCTGGAGCAACGCTGACAAGAAAAACTAACTGAAGGAGATATAAATTTACTCTCTGGAATAAAACCAAGGATATCACTACAGATCCTACAGAAAGACTGCAAATAACTTCACACATGTAAATTTGACAATTTAGATTAAATGGGTTAATTGCTCAAAATAAACTGGGAAGAGGAAAAGACCTTAGATTCCGTTAGTGCCTGCTGTATCTACTGTATCTATATGTGAAAAGATCACAGTGGACGCCATAAATATACATAATTTATGGTTATTAACAGCTCTAGTAGAAAACAAATGGAATATTCCTATAACTAGGAAATTAAATTCATAATTTAAAAATTTCTAAAGGGGACTACCTTCAGCCCTTGATGGTCTTATTTGAGTTCTACTATTTATTTATTTATTTATTGTTTAGAATTGTTTTATGTGTTTGAGTGTTTTGTCTGAATTTTGTCTGTGCACCATGTCCGTGTTTGATGGCCCAGGTCAGACAGAAGAGGGTGTCAGACTTTCTGGAACTAGAGGTACAGATGGTTGTGAGCCACCATCTGGGTGCTGGGAATCAAACCCAGGTCCTTTGGAAGAGTAACAAATGTTCTTAATCACTGAGCCATCTCTCTGACACATTTACAAAAATTTTCAAGAATAATCAGCATTAATTTTATGATTTCTTCAAAAAGAGAAAAGAAGAACATACTTCTTAGCTATATGAACTAAAATTACATTAATATCAATATTTGATAAAATCATAAACTAGTTAAAGAGGGAAATCATATCAGTTGGCACAGAAGTATTTCATAGAATTTAATACACATCTGTAATTTTAAATCTCAAAAATCAGAAATGGAAAGGAGCTTTCTCAATGTGACAGAGAACAAAGCCAGGTACAGTGATATGAGACTATAGTTCTATCCACTTGGGAGGCTAAAGCACAAAAGTCATGAGTTCAAGTCTATGCCAGGCAATTTTCTTTTCTAAGATTATCTACAGTATTACTCAGTTGTTAAAGACTGAATGTTTTGACTCTGAGATAGGGAACACAGATGGAATGTCCACTCTCAGCACTTAATTTCAATGCAATATAAATTCAAAAGGCCAGAAGAAAAGGCAAGAAATGGAAACGCACATATACAAGAGAACAACAGAAACGGCTGCTTTTCACACAACTTAACTATCACTAAAGACAATCCTAAGATGTGAATTTGGAGATCACAGGTACAAGATGAGGGCGTAAACCCAATCCAGATAGATTAGAGACAAAATGTACAGGCAAAATGTAACAATCTGAAAGACAATATGGAAGTCTGCCCCTGTGTGTAGCCAGTTTGTCAGTACATACTTACTAAATATCTTGGCCGTCCCCACCAATGTACAATGTCACCTGAATTATACAGCGAGCTCCATGCAATTCTGAGTATTTCTCGAACTCTCCTTTCTAAACTGTTGAGGAATTTCTTGCTTTAGTTGTCATAACTTTATAATAAACATTGTCTGCTAATAAGGTAATTTTCTGTTCTTTGTTCTCTGAAGAAATCTGTATAGAAAGTACATTCTCAACTAGTCAGAAAGAACATGTAATTTTATACAAATATTATGTAAGATTAATTTGTTTTAGTTGCTGAATATTTCAGATTTACAAATTGTTTCATTTTCTTATTCATTATGTCCTTTCTTTCCCCCTCTTATGATTGTACTTACCTTTTCATTTTTTTAACTTCTAATATTTATTTGTTTATTTTTGGTTTTTCAAGACAAGATTTCTCTGTATAGCCCTGGCTAACCTGGAACTCACTCTGTAAACCAGCCTGGCCTTGAACTTAGGGATCTACCTGCCTCTGTTTTCCTCTGAAGTGCATGCACCATCACAAGGCTTGAAACTACTTGATAGGAAGGGAGATAGGGAGGAAGAATGGGAAGGGAGAAAGGAAGGAAGTAGGGAAGGATGGAAGAAGGAAGAGATTAGGGAAGATAAGGAGGAAAGGAAAAAGAAGGGAGGGGAAGGAAGAATCTACTGTTCTAAGAATCACTTCATTGCTGCTTCAATATTAAAAAGGAGGGATGCTGGCTTACAGCTGCCATGTTCAGGGAGAATGGCAGTCAGAGATCCATCCATTCTCAGGGATCTCTGTGGACCATAGCTGGGTTCACCCAAGCTCAACATGGGTCTCCAGCTCAACAGAATCTAAGCACGTCAGTTCAGCAAGGGGTTGGATCCAAGCTTGGCCTCTTGGTCTGAAGGAATGTGACACTCCTTGCTTGTTCCAACAGCCCTTCAAAGTTAAGCAAAATGTTCCCATTTATCTCTATTGCTATTCAGCAAGAAAACACACTGAAAAACAAAATGTCTTCAATGTTGTTGATTCATAAAGAGCTCAGTGAGGGGGATCCTACTAAGAACTTGTATAACCCAATGCTAGGCTACCACTCACCCAGCATGACCACCCACTACCTCTAAAAGGTGCTGAACCTGGTTACCTGGATGGACCAAGAGCTGGTCCAGGCTCTGCACCTACTTCAGCTTTGTCAGTCCGGGTGAACTTACCTGGGAGATCTGGAGTTATTCATATCCCTGAGGCAACAATAGCCAGTTTTGGTCACCTGCCCAAAGTGCTTTAATTCACCAACTACTACAGAGAACAGAGAGCATGCGGAGAGGGGAGAGTCACAGACAACTGAGGGGAAAGAGCCAAAACACATCGCTTATGTAAACAGAAACCATCATCTTCGGCTCTCCTCAGCCCCACAAAATCCAGCAGCTGGATTTGTGCTACAGGAAATCAGAATGAATGAACAGACCAACAGTTTGCTCATAAATCCCAAAAGCTAAACATTTATAAAGGCTGTTGAAATGTCTCATTCCAGGATGCACGCCCTTGATGCACGCGGTTTCAGGACGTCAAGTGGACACAGTGAAATTGCTGCTGAAGATGGGCGCCAACATTAACACACAGGATGCATGTGGCCGTACCAGTTTATGCCTGGCAACCTATCTGGTACGAACTTCTGTTTGTTAATGGGGCTACAGAACAAGGGAACTAAAGATGTCATGTGGATTCTACACACAGAATGGTGCCTATGGGCCGATACAGTAGGTTAACAAGAATAGGACTTTAGGTTTTATTCATTATCCTTAAGGTTTGTATGGGACATAAGTACATTTATGTATGTGTGTGTGTGTGTGTGTGTGTATGTATGTATGTATGTATGTATGTGTATATATATATGTATGTATATATGTATATATATATGTGTGTATGCATGTATGTATATATGTATGTATATATGTGTGTATGTATGTGTATATATATATGTATGTATATGTGTATGTATATATGTATGCATGTATATATATATATGTATGTATGTATATATGTGTGTATGTATGTATATATGTATGCTTTTCTAGACAAGGTTTCTCCATAAAGCCCTGGCTGTCCTGGAACTCACTCTATAACTGACAAGTCAACATAGAGGTGATGTGACCACCAAGAAATATGTTGTTTTCTATCTCATCATCAAAATTTCACTTGAGACATTTCTGGCCCATGTTGGTATTTCTAACAAGGCTGCCATAAATAACCCCCAGAGGGTGGTAACAATTTGAAGATTCAGTTAAGGCTTGGCTGGGATTAGATGAAACTTAGCTGAGTGGAAGCTCCACGCTGCTGACTGTGAGAAGTGATGAGAACTGGGAAGGGTGAGCGGACGAGGGCATGGAGACACAGACGTCACGGACATGGATGTCAGGGTCGTGGGTGTCAGGGACGTGGGTGTCAGGGAGGAGGGCATCGGGGAGGAAGGCACTAGGGATGTGGGCACCGGGGATGTGAGCACCGGGAAGGAGGGCATCAGAGACTAGAGCATCGAGGATGTACCAGGACCACAGGGGCAACACCAGTGAAGAACTCGCTCAGTTCATAGCTAGTGCTCACATTAGAAACTGTAATGCCATCTCTCATACTAGGGATTTCAGCTCAGCATTGCCCAACATTAAACAAAGCTCAGTTAAGACTCACTGAAAATCCTCTAAGCCCTCTCCCTTCAGATGCTCTCTGTGGTCCTTCTGGAAGCTCCCTGGGCTGGCTTAAACCCATGTTAAACAAGCTGAACCTACCATGTGGGGCACAGTTTATTGCTTTCCTTCTTTTCCAGCAACATGGCCACTACCCTGTCACATCTGTTGCCTCTTGGGGTCACTGCTGCTGCCAGTTGATAGTCACAGATTTCTCCCAACCAGCCCCCCTACGGATTCACCCCTTCAGCCCCACTGAAATAAAACACTTCTCTTCCCCAAACACACCACCCCTTCCTGCCACACAGTTCAGAGTTTGCAATGATGCATTGCTCAATTCCCACAGAGATTTTCTTCAGAGGCTACTTTAATTTTTTTTTCTTTGCAAACTCTGTTTCTGGGACCCACAAATGATTTTTTTTTTTGAAATGTGGTCCACAGGCCTCTTGGATCAATATCACTTAGAGGTCTATATCACTTAAAGGTCTTATTTGAAAGGCAGGTCCTGAAGTACGCTAAGACTTCAATAGTTAGAAACTCCTTAGATAGCTTGGAGGCAGAGGAGGATAGGAGCCTGCAGGTTAAACTAATCTTCCTGGCAAATTTGGTGTCTGCTTAAGTTTAAAGACCACTGCTCTGTATGTGTTAGCTGAGTGAGTCTCTGTAGACATGGGACCTTGAGCAAATCACTTCACCTTTTTGGGCCTCAATCCATATTTTTGAGGTGTAGTTAAAAACAATAACCTAAGCTTATCATACCTGAAGGAAAAGGTAGAGCCAGCTAGCAGGTAGTAGGTAGGTAGGACACTCAGTTGTTGCTTCAGAATGGTGTCATGTGTTTCCAATGTCTTCATTGGTTTTTAAATTTCCTTTCTGAAGAAAAGAAAAAATAATGAAGAAAACCACATACACACATTGAGTTCCAGGAAACATTGCAAAATATTTTAGATATTTCAAAGCTTACTCCACCAAAAGATCTGCTTTTTCAAAAACTAGTGCTTGGGCAATTCTGAAGTTTGCCCAGAGTGCCTTGCTGTTGGATTTTTTTCTTTTAAGCAGAGAACTTGATGACTTTGATATTGGCAACTAGAAACAGATTTAATACATTAGTAAACTGTGAGTCAATACTGACAATGTCTCCAAATATTTGCTTTACTTAGGGCAGATATTGCTGGTCAATTCTACAGAGCTTTACTTGGTATTATAGCCCATGACATTTATTTAGTTTAGATTTTTGTGACAGGGTCTTATGTAGTCTAGGCTGGCCTCCAAATCACTATATAGCAAAGGATGACCCTTGACTCCTGACCCTCTTTGATATTAACCTCCCAAATTCTGGGATGCTAGGTCTGCATATCCATGCCTGCTTTGGTCCAAGAATTTTGATGTGCTCTTGCTTGACAGACATTGTCTAGACTCTTAAAAACCACAAGGTTCTCTTTCTACTCTTATTTTCTTACTTGAACAAGATTATTAACCCTTGGGGGTTGGTGCTTCCAATATTGTCATACTAAGGAAGAGACTCTTCAGTCAACACATCCTACTGGGGCATCTCCAGGCTTGACTACACACTAACAGAGGAAAGGAGAAACTGCTTTTGGATGAAAGGTTATCTATCATATCACTCCCCTCAATGAGAAGTTCGGCTATTCAGTTGTCTGTTTAGGAGACCTTCTGTTTAGGAATGAGAACAAAACTTGGTCATCAACAGTGTTGGATCAGTTAAAGAAGTATAAACTAAGAAAAGCAGTATAAATCTAGGCAGGGCTAGCCTCAGGTTACTTCTGTCCTTTAACATGAGATAGCAGAAAAAATGACCCAGTCAGAAATGCTAGCCAGCAAGGTGATAATATAAGTTTCAGTTGTTACAATGAGGATGCAGGGAATTCACGAAGCTTCCCGAGAAATACACAGGCCTGTAAAACCTTCCAATGGGCCTGCATCCCTCGGAGAACACGAGTTATGCCTTCATGTTAGAAACTCAGGATGTTAGCATTAGAGTCTCAGCTACTGGCAGGGTGTGCGGGTTACATATCTAAGCCTAATGAGGCTGACTCGAGAAAGCCACATGCTCTCCTTCAGGTTATTAGAAAAAAGAACATAAAATAAAGAATGAAGGCCTACACTTTAGACTGTTTCTGGAACACATAGACTGGGACACAGAAGCAGCATTGAAATCTGGTTTTTAGAAGTAGGTTTTACCCGAGTCAGACAGTTGATATGTATGAGCTGGAGTTTAAGCCACACGCTGAGAGGCCCTGGCAGGTGACCACTGCCTGTCACATGCTATCTTTGGCGTGTAGGAACAAGAGCAGCCCGTGCGAGGCAGTTGAATCCAAGTGAGTAATCCTGGACACAGAAGGGAGAACCTGGAGAACAGTGCCTGTGTCTATCTGCATATGAAAGAGCAACAATCATACAGAAAACTTGGGAACGTGAAGCTAGAGCTGGAACTGTTGTCCTTAATGGTTTCAACTTAAACATGCTGTTAGCCAAACCAAAGAAGTGGCCAAATAAATAAATAAATAAAACCCAAACGAACAAAACCAAAACCAAAAATCAAAAATAAAACCAAAAAAAAAAAACCCAGAACAACAACAAAACAAAATGAAATTTTAAAAGACCTATAGAATGGGTTTCCTGTGCATGTTGACCTGTGTTATGTACGGCTGTGCTGTAGAATGATGCCATTGCTATTTCAGGGCTGGCTTGAAGGCTGTGTGAGTCTGCTCAGAAACGGTGCCAAGCACAACATCCCAGATAAAAATGGCCGCCTGCCCCTGCACGCTGCTACTGCAGAGCCTGATGTGAGGTAAGCAGTTCAGTGCACACACCCGATGGAAGAGACATTGCAGGAGAAGGGAGTGGAATCCACCCCTCTGTGGCTGATAAAAATGAGACTTACCCATTTTTTTTTGCAGATAGGACCACACTAAATGTTCCAGAGTAATCTTAAACTCCAACCTTACCTTCTTCCTACTTCAATGAAACCTCTTTCCTCATAGCCTTTTAATTAAGGAGAAAGACTACTTTAAGTCACTGGAATTCATATATTCATTCATTCATTCATTCATTCATTCATTCATTCATTCATTCTAGTAGTCATGGTCAATTATTAAATCAATTAACTATCACCAGACCTTTATTGTGAACCAGGCAGAGTTTTAGTCCTTAACCATGTCACAGTCACCAAGACAGTCACTGATGTCCCAGAGCCAACACTGTCAAAGGAATCAAGTGACTCACTAGTAAACAAAGGAGCAAGATACTTTCCAATAATGACAAGTGCTTTGTAGAAAACCAAACAAGCTAAAGCTGCCGTGACATGTCAGTAAGGTTAATGTCCAAATGGAGTGAGTGGACAGCAAGAGTCTGGGAGTAGAAGAGGCACAGAAGCCTGAGGTGGAAGTCCAAGAAGTTAGAGACAAAACCAGGAGGGTATGTACATGGAGCCCATGTGAAGAGATTTACTTAAAGAAAGTCAGTGCCTGAGGAGGTTGCAATTTGGTGAGATAATGGAGAAATCAAGGGAAAACCTTCTTCCACTCCAACTGAGTTCCTCACTCCCCACTGGTCGAATTGGCCTCTGTCTCCACCATTTTGAAAGCTCCTATAGCAGCTGCTGACAACATTTCCTACTACAAATAGCAGTGCTGCCACTTGGCTCTTCGTTCATACTCTGTTGCCTACAATATGCCTTTAATGGTAGTTCAGCATCTCCCAGTCCCGGGACCTGACCAGCAGCACAGGGGGATACATTGTATACCTAATCCTTAGCACCCGGGGCCAGAATGAAGACCTGAAGCTCTGTGGAGCTGAAGGGGTTAAATCATCCTCTAGGAGGGGTATGAGTGTAGGGGAATAACAGGATTTCTTCAGTCATTTTTATAGAAAGTAAAAGGCTTGGAAATTCCAGGTCTATCCCTGAGGCTTGCCGCTTGTTATCTTGGATCATATCCAGAAATAACAGAATTTACTCAAAGCCTTGAGCAAGCCCAGACCATTCACTCTCAGTAAACATCGGAGGTAAGCAGATGGTCCGCTTAAGAAAAAGGGGAAGGGAGGGAGGAATAAGAAAGGGGGAAGGGAGGGGGAGAGGAAAGAAAGAGAGGAAAAGACTTTATTTTAGACAGCTTGTACACATGTTTTGTCATAAAAGTATACTGTTTCTGCAGGAGTGGTCTTGAGAAAATAAGTTTAAGAACATACCCTGCAAGAATTACTCTGCCTCGATTACTGAACTTAAGTGACTTTATCTGCTTCTCTTGTGTAGTTTTAAAAGCCATGTATTCTGAAAAATAAATGCCCTCTTAAGTTGCAGTAATTATAGTTACTGCAGTAAATAAAACCCAAAGTTGGGGTGCTTCACACTCAAGTTTTACTTCACAGTCCAGATGTCAGTGGTGCTAGGTGGTGCATGGCTCCCCTCCACGTGGTGATTCAGGGACCCACTCACCTCTCCTCTTGTAATGCTGGCATCCTGAAAGATCACAGAATGTCCCTCACTTGACTTAGTGATGGGCAAAGAGGAGCAAAGAGATGCCTTTCTCATTCTTGCAAAACCTCAGGCATATGTCACCAATCACATCTGCTCTTCTTCCATTAAAAAGAACTAGTGTTCTTTGCGCACACTTGAATAGCATGAACCCCAGGAAATACAATCCTGGGTGGGCAATCTCTATGCCTCTGGTGATTCCGATCCATGAATTGGGAACTCAGATTTAGACAAGAAGTTCTCTCTTCCATTTACACCTGAAGTGTCAATTAAGTCTTCTCAATCAAAATCACATTCAGAATCAGTTCAGTCAGCTAGATTCAACCTCTGAAACAATCAGTTGAAAATCCATTCAAGGGTATGTCCTCTTCCATGGATTTGTTTGTTTGCTTTTGGCTTTTTGAAGACAGGTTTTCTCTGTGTCGCTCTGGCTATCCTAGAACTCACTCTATACACCAAGCTGGCCTCCAACTCAGAGGTCCACCTGACTACCCCTCACCACCCCGCCCATACACTGCTAGGGCAACTCTGTGACTTTGTGAGTTTCTGCTTCAAACACCTAATGCAGATGCAACTGTCATAAATTTTCATAGTGCAGATGCACTATGAAAAGTGTGTACCATCAACATCCAGCTCCAAGAACTTAATAGATAGCAATGTCTCTACAAACACTAGGTAGAACTTTGAAAGCAAAGAATTGAGGATTCTTCTTCTCTGGATATTATACCTAACGACCCAGCCTACATCATCTGATGAGTTTAATCCAGAAAAGTAAACCTCTTTCTATGTGCTAAAGATACAAGTTTTCTTTTTATAAATGGAAAGTTGATTCTGAATGGTAAAATCCGGCTTTACAGTGCTACTCAACTAACGAAACCCAAAACTGTGATTGTTTTAAGAGCAATATTTTGTGTTAGTGAGTCTTCTTCAAAATGGATTGGGTCAAACCGTTACCAACCCATAGACAGCAAATAAAGCAGCTGAATTACCTGCAGACACTCTGGGAAGCAGTTTATCCTGAAGGCTTCCTCCTGAGAGTAAACAGGTAATAACGAGATATTTAGTGGTTGTTTTACTGAGAAAATTTGACAGTTGCATCTGCATTAGGTGTTTGAAGCAGAAACTCACAAAGTCCCAGAGTTGGGCTGCAGCCACCTGTTTAAGCATCAGCATACACTGCATACACTGCTTACACTGCATACACTTAGCATTGCTTTCTGAGCAAACAGACCTTGTCTGGCTTTGTAGGCATTTTCCAACATTGCAACTGCACTGGAGAAGCAAAGTCTCTTCTATTAAGGCAAGTGAGCCTAGTATCTTAAATGGACATAACCTTTAGAATAAAAGCATTCATTTATTTACTTTGTGTGTGTATGCATGCATGTGTACACCATGGCTCACATGGTGAGTCAGAGGGTAACTTTCAGAAGTTCTCTCCTTCATCCCTGTGAGTTCCCAGGATCAAACTTAGGTCGTCTGCCTTGGAAAGAAACACCTTTACCCACTTGTATCCTCACTTCACAGATGAGGAACTGTGACAAATGGAAGCTAACGAACTTACACACAAGAGGAAAACCTGCCCAATGGGTCTATTGTCCTCCTGAGAGCCACCATTTCGGGCCTTGCAGAGTTTATTGTAATGATTATATTTTATGGGCAAGCCCTCGGCCTGTGTTGCCAGCCCTTATGAGAAACAGCCTTACAAAATTTACTGGCTCACAATCCGATCATATTTTATTCATTACAACATCTTCAAAAATCCTATATAAGAAACCACAGGAAAAAAAAAAAGTTTTGCTAAGAGAAGGTTGGCTCCACTTCTCCAGAGAAAACATTTGGAATTTGTATTATAGGAACTTTGTGGTTTAGGATCCTGTGCCTTGCTTTCTGTGCTTAGAAAGTTCAAACTTTCCAAAGTTTGAAACCTGCCTATGACACACACTGCATTGTAGATCTTTTCTTCCTATCTTCTGCCCCTGTTTTCTCTGGATAATTTCTTCACTCACCTTGTTTTTATTTATGTAACCAAATGCCACCTAAGATGCTTGTTGGGTTGAGGTCAAGAGTGTCTGGGAGTCAGGCTGAGCTTGAATCTGGCCTCATCTGACCATTCCTTTGTCTTGGACAAGTTAATATGTCAAGGCAGATAAGTTTCTTTTTCTAGAAGGTAAGGGGAGGCAAAATTAGAGGAAAATATATTAGCCATAGTACTGATCATGGTACCTAGTATACTGTGTTCAGAAAGCATTAAGACTAAGTGTGATTATAGAAAGACATGACTATCACATGCTAGCATTAAAGAATAGCGTCCCCTTATTGCCACCCCACCAGTTCCCATCTTGGCACATGCAGGTCTGCTGAGAGTGAGTAAAACACACAGCTATTTGTGCACACGGCTCTGTAGCAGCATGCAATACCCGTTCACTGCAAAGGATGCTGGGATAGGAACGTTCACTCCCCTGTGTGTAGACTCAAGGAAACAGACTGCTTTGAGACTGCATAATTGAACTCAGACTACTCTGTTCCATCAGAAACTCCCTTTGCTACTTGTGAGCGCAGGTCCATCTGTTTTCTTCATATTAGTAAGCAGTACGAACAGCCACCCCACCCCACCCCTACCGCCGAGACCTTGTGAAAAGCTGTTTACACTGGCTTAAAAATCTGCTGACCCTTAGGTTTCCAAACAGCAAGCTCCTCCCATGTGACACTCACTGAAGGCTATGGACAGGAAAGCCTCAGACTGAAGCTGCTTTTAACCAGTCCAGAGGGACACTTACATTCTGCCTTTAGCCTATAGAGAGAGTCAGACTCTCTGACTGGCTTGGATCCACATCCTCAACTAAGGTCCAGGGAGTGGGTTTGGAGCAGACGCAGGGATAAGTGATTTGTACATTAGCCTGATGAACACAAAGGAGCCGAGCGCCTGCTCTGAGCTCTCTGCTTCTCAACAGGTCCAAGTTTTCTCCCTTACAGTACCCTGGAGCTTTTTCTTGTACCCTTGGTTGGGTAAAAGAGGGGACAGGATCCTTAGAACAAAGTCCCAAAGAGACAGAGTTTCATTTGTGCAGTCCTGTAGGCACTAGCACTGAAAGGCAAGAAGCAATTTCCTCTGAAAGAAGCCACCAGGCTCTGAAGCACTTCTTCATGATCTCCATGGTAATAGGCAGATTTTCTTTTCTTTCTTTTTCACATCCCCCCATCCCTGCCCCACCACCACATCACCAGCTTTTCTGTATCATTTCATCGCTCTTGACTACAGCCAAAGGGTTTCCTGGCTCCCTTCTTCAGGATCCTTTAAGTTACTAATGCTGTAACCTGATGTGGAATTCCGTTATAGCACACTCTTGCATCCAGATGGCATTAGGGACAGGAAGGGGAGATGGCTGGCTTGGGGAACATCTCCATTCATTGCCATCACTGAGCTGCAGGGCTGGGAGCCTGCAGGGTCAGTAAGCTGCTCCTATGATGTCTTTAGCTGATTCCTGCTGTCACCTGAATCACCTAAGGGTGATCGGAGAAGACCCAGAAAAGACAAGACCCAGAAACATTTTTTTAAAATGAACCAGCATAGAAAAGTTAGGGGTGGGCACATGAGAGTGAAACTTAGTGCTTCATAAGCATTGACTCACTTAAAATTGTAGCAAATCTTGAGGAATTAGAAGGTATCCTCCTCATTGTACATATGGAGGTGCAAATCAGAGAACCCAAATCTCTGTAGGATAAGGGCAGGATGCAGTGTACATATGAGACCCCGAGAATGTTATAACTTGTCCAAGGCCCCTGAATCGTTGGTAGAAAGTATTATTCAGTCATGGCCCTGGGTGAGGGAAGGCACCTGCTGAGGATCCTTGTTTGCTGTCCTGGTACCTGGGATGTAGTGGCCTGGAGCTGCTGCTCTGAGATCTGAGGGCAGTTTGAACAGGTTCCAGTGGGGATGGTGGAAGAAACGTTTCTGGCCACCACAGCCTCATGCTGGAACTCTAGGAGAACAAGACTGAGATCAACAAGTGTTCCAGGGATGAGGCAGATGGCGACCAAGCCAGATTACCTCCACACCACAGAACAGCCAGGGCTCAGCAGGCTTCACAGGAAGAGCTCTCTTCATCTGGATATCTGTGTTCAGCTTTGAAGACCAATGAGTCTTTAAGATTTTAAAATCAAATCGTTAAAGAGCATAGGTTGGCCCCTCAGACAGAGAAGTCAGGGGGTTCTAAAAGGTAGTAACCAAGCAAAGTCCAGTGAAACTAGCAAGAGATGATGGTGCTCTCTATTCACCTAGCACAGTGACACGTACCTGTTGTCCTAAGCTGAGGGAGAAGAATCACAGCTTTGATGCCAGCCTACGATACCTAAGAGTTCAAAGCCAGCTGGAGGGTACAAGGCAAGATAGTAAAACTAAAACAAAATTTAAAAACTTAGGTTCTCCAAAAGAACAGAAAAATTTTACCACTCCTTAATCTAAAGGGGACAAGGAATCATTTCGGGAAATTAATCTGATTTGTCCCTTTTCCAGAGGTGCTCCCACTAAACTAAACAATCAAACCACAGGTGTGGAGGCTTGGTTAATGTCCTTCTCGAAGGTCAACCCCAGAGCCAGGGATTGCAGAGAGAAGGAATGTGAGAAGCCCGTGGTGAAAGGCCTTTATCCAGGGCGTTGGGGGCCCACCTAGGGGCCGGTGTGGGATCTGTGTCTGTTTACCCCATTCCGGTCTTCCCTGAACTTCACTTTCCTGAGAGCCATTTCTCTTCACAAGGATCCACAAGGGAGAACCTGTCTGTGTACAGAGGAGCCATTCAACTTGGGGCTAGCCGAGAGAGTAACACCGGCCCTAGCTCAGTGATTCTCAACCTGTGGGTCATGCATGACCCCTTTGGGATCACATATCAGGTATCCTGCAGATCGACTGTTTACATTACGATTCACAGCCGTAGCAAGTGTCTAGTTAGGAAGTAGCAACAAAAATAACCTTATGGTTGAGGGTCATCACAACATGAGGAACTGTATATTAACGAGTCGTAGCATTAGGAAGGTTGAGAACCGCTAGCTTAGTTCTTTTCTTGACTCCGCCCCTCGCCCGCTCCTGCGCCCACTGCAGACCAAAGGGACCCTAGAGATTAAAAGCGACCACTAGAGGGACACAGAGAGGAAACAGTTCAGTCTCACTCCCACAGCGAGAAGAAAAGTTGGATTGGAGAATAAAGCTAAACTGCTTCATGTTTCAAAGATTCTTATAAAAGTCATTTGAACTCTCTCTGCCTGCATGTTCTCAGCCCTCATCACCGCAGTTCACGGACCAATCACCAGCACCTTCTCAATCATTTCCAAACAGGGCTGTTTACCAGAATGGCCTGAGAACGTTCTTTTCAACTGTACTGACTAGGCTTCTCCAAGACCCATTGAGTACAGTCCAGCTGTTTATGGTTTTAAAAAATCTCCCTGGTGGTTCAGAGATGGGACCCAAAGCTTGAAAATCTAGGATTACTGTTTCTGGAAATAACAGGTTTGTCTCTCAGACATATCTACATGTTTTAAGCATATCGTCTCAGTCCCCTCACTGAGCTACGAGACCAGGACCTACTGCCCCCAAATACAGGAAGCTGAGGCAGAAAGACAGTAAGCAACTTGGCTTAGAGCACAGAGTTTGGCAGGACTGACATGTGAACCCAGACAGTCTGGCTCCAGAGCCTGGCCCTAGAACCAGAGCCACCAACCGCCTCTATCTCACGGAGGGAACGTTGACCTCAGACAACCAAGCTCAGGGCAGTGAACTGGAGAATCACTGACTGTTGTGGCTCGCTCAATCCTGTCATTGCCTGAGCAGCTGTCCCTGTTTTACCAGTGTGTGGAGGTGTAAACACAAGCACTGCATGTGCTTATGCAAAGGGAACAAAAGCCAGCCAGGACATGACTTTGGCTACTGAAGTACTACGTGGGTGACAGAGTGAGGCTAAAGGATGTCTTGACTCACCTCAGTCCCCAGGAGCACTAAGATGGTGAGAAGCTAGAGAAGACAGGCGTGGTCCTGTTTTCCATGCTAATGGCTTCCCATGCACCTTTTCTTGGATAGGTGGGAAGAGCCTCGTTTTATTCGGAGGCCTCCAACTTCATCCTGGCTCTTGTGCCTTAATACTCATTCTAAGCACCCATCGCTGTCCGTGCTGTTGACCCACTCTGTCCTTCCCAACAGGCTCCTCATAGTCCTGCTGCAGCAGTCCAGCCTCAGTGAGATCAACCATCAGGACACGGAGGTGAGTCGGCTGTCTCAGCCACACTCTGCATGGAAGGATAGAAGACATCCTTTGCACATCCCTCTCAGTGCCCAAGCTTCTCCTCTCCTACCTTCAGGCAGAGCTCTAGCATGTTTGGTGTGACTAGGTTTTACCACGGGGAGGTTTTCTTGCATTGAGTCCTTAGGCGTTAATTATATGACTGAAATTTTGTTATTTTCTTCTGGGTATTCCCTCTCCTGTCTTTTAGAGTCCCTCAAACATAATAACAAGCAATGGCTTCAGATGTGGGTTTTTTTTTTTTTTTTTTGAGTTGGAAGGATAGACAGAATACTTCCAGGTCAGCATTGCTAGTCCCTGTTAATCACGACTGTTGCTTCCCTTCACATTGCTAACGCAGCTTTGCAGAAGGCTTCTAAGTCTTCCAGGTCAGCTGCCCCAGAGCAGCTAAGGGGTTTCTTATAGTTATTCACTATAGCTGTATCAAGTTGTTTGAGGATGAGTGCTGATTTTCGTTGGCCAATAGATTTCTGTTACAAGCATCTCAAATCCAACAGAAAGACCTGGGCTCTTAGCGGGCTTTCTATACAAAAACATGCTTGGCTAGGTTACTCTTCAGTAAGTAGGATTGGTAATATTGAGAAAAGTCTAGTCTAGAGTAAAGATATGCATACACAAGATTCACACTCCACTGGCTTTGATAGACCCAGCTGGTCATAGACATTGAGTTAGGAATCAGCCCCTCATAGCTTCCTCCTGGTTTACGTCTCTGCCCCTAGATGTCTTGATCCTGTCATCAAAGGCCTCCCACTAACCACCCTGATGACCACACCCAAAAGCCCCTGTTTACAACTTGGGGTTGAGGTTGAACATCTTGCTGATTTGTGCGTCACACACTGTGTGCACTCCACATCCATGACCCAAAGGCAAACCTCAGAGGGCAGGAGTCCACCTTTTAGACTTCTGCTTTAAAAAGATGGCTGCACTGAGCAGTCTGTGCCCACGTGTGAAGCAGAGTGCTGTGTCTGCACCCTGGGGATGTCTAGCCCTAAGTAAGCTACCAACCACTTCCCCTACCTCACCCCCATCCTCACCCCCAAACTGGGTCTTATTTAGGCAGCTGGTGATTCAGCCATTCATACTCTAAAGTCAGACTCCATGTGCAGACCTGCAACTCTGGCTGCTTTGAAGCTGAACCAGTAGTGTCCCCAAAAAACCATAATTCCCCATCCCCCTACTCCACCCACGGAAGCCGAGTTGAGCACAGTTCTTTAAAAGACCTCTGGCTCTTCCTCAGCCAAAGTGATCTCTGTTTAAAACAAACAAACAAACAAATGAAAAACTGAGGGGCATAGAAATACATGCCTTTAATCCCAAGATAACTCGGACGTCAGACACAGGAGGATCTCTGTGAGTTCAAGACCAGCCTTGTCTATATATCAAACTCTAGGACAGCCAGGACTACATAGAGAGACCCTTTCAAAAAACAACAACAACAACTTCTCTTGCTATCACAGCAGTGTTTTGACCAACCAAATTCTAAGCTCAGAAAACAGCAGTCTTAAAGATGCTATGTTCTATCTAATGTCACAGTTTCCTCTCAAACCAACGTCTCGGCAGGTCTGCATCCAATCGAAATCTCCTTCTAATTGGCTTTCCTGTTGTAGAAACAGGAGTGTATACAGCCTGTGGGATGAGGTGATTGACAATTAGGATGTTCTCACAAAATTTGTCTTTCAAATTAGCTTTGTTTACTCACACCCTTATAATTCTATGCTACAGATATCTCACCAAGCAAAAAACAGATGGTTGGGCAGGAACTATTGCTGAAGGACTCGACTGGGGAGTTTTCTAAGGTGAGGGCACTTCAGGAGTTTTGCCAGCTCAACCCACCTCTGAAAGTAAAGTCCTTCATTGTGGGTGGCCGGCAGGATAGCACTGGTGGAGGTTTTAGCAGGTCTTGGCCAGTGGCTAGTGCTAACAGTTGGGCAGATGTGTGAGTTCAGCAACAGTGCCAGAAGGTCAAAGGTCACTGGAGGCAGGACCACACACAGAGGCCAATCTCAGGTCCTCTGATGATGAGTATCATCAATACAGAGGCTATAGAAAGTCTTGGGAAGTGTGGCAGTAAGAACCTAGAGACCATTTTCAAAGTTCTAATTTGTGTATCATTTCACTGGGTGGTGGCTTTGGGTTGTCAGGGTTCACAGTTTGGGGCTAGTTGACTTACTTATCAATTTGCTACTTTGTGGTGTTGCATGGCTGGTCCCTTACCACATTAGAACTTGCTTCCATTTCCTATCAGAGCTTCCTGGTGGTAGGCTTACAGTCACTCAAAATGGTTTGTAAGTTACACATAATGGTTCCACTAATGTTTCCAAACCTGTGCTTTTCATACTGTGCACATCTACATGAACACATGTAAATTTAATATAGGATGAGCTCTTTGTGTGCATGAGGAACTAGTCCCGAGCTCTCTCTAGGATACCAGAAATCAGAAGTTCAAGTGTCATCTATAAAACAGTGGAGTTTTTGCCAGTAACTTACACTCATCTTTTCTCAGACCTCAACTCTCAAGAATGATGACAATAAATTCCTAAGGCACTGAAAGCAATGTGTAACAGTTAGTAGATGGCACCATTTAATGACAAGAAAGAAGCCTGTGCATGATTAAGACAGTTCTGACCTCCCACAGATATTGTCAGTCCTCATTTGGTGAATCCATGGATGTGAAGCCCACAGATGAAAAGGGCCACAAACAGAAGAAAAGGGAAAAAAACAATTTCTGAAAAAATTCTAATGCTAGAATGTGATGCTCTTATGTCAAGAAAATGGGTATCATATTTTAGAGACTGTCCTATGTGAGTTCACGACATAAAACAACTCTTCTGGGGTCCAGTCTTTATATACTCATATTTTCTTTCAATTTAGTAACTTCAATGCTGCATGTAATATTAGAAAGCCCCTTCCTCACTAGTTCCAGCCAACCACCTGGATCTCTAAGTAATCATTTCACCTATCCCACTTTTCCATGTAGTCATAGAAACCAGACTACTACACAGAAGGTATCACGCTGTGTGTGTTGTTCTTTGAGTTTACTTTTTCAGCTCTCCATGTTCAAAGGTAGACATCTGGTCCACACTAGGAAAACACTTTGACCCATTTATCTGTTCCTCTGTGAATGGATACTCTGGTTGCCTCCAGTTTTTCTGTCACCATAACACTAATCTAAAAAATGTAGTCTTATGCAAGTCTCCTTGAGTCCCTTATGAAAGAATGTCTTTAGAAAAATAATTTCTGGGTGATAGCATGCTCATTTTTAGTTTAATACATACTACCTACTTGTTTCCCAAAACACCAATTTATATAGCTTGGCCAATAGGCTAAGCACCCTCTTCCCCAAGCGTTGTTGTGCTATACTTACTTATCTGCATTCTTCACTTGAGACTGCGTCCTCTGTGCATTTGACACTCTTCGTGTATCTTCTTTCATGATCTGCCTCTTTGCATCCCCTTTCCATTCATCTACAGGGGTGCTTGCCATTTTCTTGTTGTTTTATATATTCAGAATGCTACCCCTTTGTCTTGGCTAGGTTTAAAACATATTTTCAGTTTTCCAAACTATTCACAGTGGTATATTCACAAACTTATGAATATGATTTATCAAGATGATGGTTTTACATGTGTCTCATTTTGCTTTGGGTTTTTTTTTTTTGAATGCCTATCTACCCCCAGAAACCTAATTACAGAGGACTAAATTTTCTCTCTTTTTGTCTGTGGTTTCATTTCTCAACTCTTTATTCTATTCCAGTGATCAGCATTTTTTTTTTCCTGTTTCATTCTTACTATGTTGTTTGATTGCAAGTTGACTTCTTTAGAAGCTATCCACACTGAAGAGGCTCACAGTGGAAAAGGTCGGATGGGTCAGGTGTCCTATGCATAGGTAGTCTAAAAGGCTCTCAGAAAAAAAATCAATGGAGGCTTGTCTAGTTCAGAGAGGGAACTATCAAGTTGCTGGCTGTCTGGAATCTAGCCTCTCCTGCTCTCGTCTTAGCTTTCATAGGAAGAACACACCATCAGGAGGGCCTGTGAGCTGTTGGCATCTGGGTTAGAATTCTTAGTGCATCCGTTCAGAGAAGCACCAGCATGCCTGGTTTTTAGAATGCAGTGTTGATCTTATGTATGATTTTATGTTAGTACATTTTTTAGGAGCAGCCTCATAATCCAAATACCAGTTATAACTGTTCTCTGAGAAAATAAAATTCAACTTGCAAAGGCAGATGTGAAGTTCTGGACTTGATCCATGGCACCGGTCTCATTCTCTGCATTCCTAGTACGTAACTCTAGCCAGTGTGCGCCCAAAAGCAAAATCAGAAGAAATAGTCCCTGACTCTAGACAGCTGGCTTGATGGTTAACAGAAGGCAAATGTTAAAGCATCTAAATACCTCAAAACTTTACACTAAAACTGACCATATTTTAAAGTGGAGTAAAGTCACTCCTGCTTAGGAGCCCTTAACTCCCTTGACCCCCAACCCCCAAACTCCGTAAGTTTCTGAGAACAATGTCTCTTTCATCTATGCACTCCTTGACCCTACCTCAGTAACTTACACATAGTGGGTATCAAAAAGTGTGTGCGTGGTGGGGGGGGGGTGTACGTGTGTGTGGTGTGTGTGTGCCTGTGTATCTGTGTGTGTATGAGTATGTGTGTACGTACCTGTGTGCCTGTGTGTGTACATGTGTGTGTGTGTGCCTGTGTATCTGTGTGTGTATGAGTATGTGTGTACATGTGTGTACCTGTGTGCCTGTGTGTGTACATGTGTGTGTGTGAGAGAGAGAGAGGGAGAGGGAGAGGGAGAGGGAGAGGGAGAGGGAGAGGGAGAG